GACAGCTAGAGATGATGAGTGAGACATCGGCTCCTAAGTGCCATGCGTTGTTGTAATAAATTGATGAAAAAAAGGACATTTTGCCTTTTCTGTCTCAGCATTCTGAGCTTTCTAGGCAGAGACTTAAATATCGGCACAGGGAGTCCAAGTCACGACAGACGGAACCGTCATCAACTTGTTGCTAACGACGCTCTTCAGAGCGGCATCCCCCCATGCTAGGGGGGGGGGTGTGTGCAAACGCTGCAAAGCTTCCTGAAGTCCATGACTCTCAACCTCTGTTTTCGTCGTGTTCGGGGGGAAACTGTTTTCATAGCACCACATGACCTGCAGCTTCACTTCCTCTTGCTCATTGTTATCTGTGATGAGGTATGCTGCTTTCATAGCATCGGCAGGATGAACAACAGCAGGAAGACACCGCATAGGGTCTAACTAGACTTTCAACATTTTTTTACACGGTTTAAGCCTGATCACAATCTCAAAACTAACTATCACAGTAGTCTGCTGTAAAACCCCTACATTATCTGTAAACACCTGTTTAACCAGGAAGCATTTGAATAACGGCCTGCTGAAACCCCATATTTACAACACATACAGGGGGGGAAAAAAAAAAAAAAAACATGCATAACCTTCTTCTCTTCACTGTTTGTCATGAAATTTGGCTGGACTTATTTTAAGTTAGTCATCCATTAATCAATTGTCTTCCGATTATACTTTTCTCAACAGGGTCATATTCACGTGGATTGTTGATAATCTTGATAATCGAATTCAGCTGACCTGTGTTGCATATTAAAGCATTTAGGGGATCTAAGTGTGACAAAAAGCAAAAATAACACATTTGTAAGGTGGAAAACACCTCTTCAGTAAAGAAGTGCTGCAGTTACTTTTCTCCAGTAGGTGGCAGGCTAGAAATATCTGTGGTCTATTAAGGACTCCTAATAATCGAGATCTAATTGTTCAAATTAAGACAGAGAAGCAGTAATGACGAGAAGCAGACAAACAGACGATGAGGACCAGCTTTTTCCACCTACAACGCGGTCACCTCGCATTGTGACAATGCTTCCTTCCATTGAGTCAAAGGGGAAGAGGTGTCTCTTCCTCAGACATCCTCTGGTTCGCTTTGACCCCACTCTGCTGCCCTTTTTCTGTCAGCAGGAAAGAAAGAGCAGTGCGGACTGAGGCGGGAAACATGTCAAAGGACAGGGCAGGAGGGGGGAAGTAACAACAACGACACAGGATGAGATTTGCCCTGTCCGGTGCACTCAGCAGTATCTGTTCTGCTGGACGATAACAATGGGAAGGAAGAGCTTAAAACATCAAGTGGAGGCTACAAGTTTCCCCCGTGGACAAGCCTGGAATTCTGCACCTGTGGTCGGTTCGCTAAATCCATGCATAGATGATACCAGCAGCAAAGCTACAGTTTAGCCAACAATGTGAGCGAAAGCTTTGTGTGGCATTCTTTATTTCTGTGCATTTTCACTTCATTACTAAGCTAATGAAAAACAAGTTGGCTCCGCACAAACAAGAGGCTTGTGATCCGTCGGTTTTATCCGAGCAGAATATAAATGTTTTTGGGGTTTGTAAATTACTCATTGCATAACAAAATGGATCCATTTAGGTCTTGCTGCACTTTCGTAATCTAATTTCTCTGCCTCGTTTAGATAATTACTAAGACAGTCTGGGACGAGAGAGGCTGAGACAAGACTTACTGTAATTTGATTAGGAAGACTGTCTTTTTGCCCTGCTGAAGCAGTGCAGCAGAAAGAGAGACCGCACGCAAATAAGTGCATCTGTGAGTGAGTGAGTGAGTGTGTGTGCGTGCATGTATGTGTGTGTGTGCGTGTGTGTGTGTGTGTGTGTGTGCATGTATGTGAGCTCAAGCAGAGATGAAAATGAGGGAGGCCTGTGAGCAGATTTAAAGTTCATGAGAGAAAAAAAAAAAGATGAAGACTGGCACAACTCCATTAAACTCTACATCAAATTAAGTTTTCTATTTTTACTGCAGAAAATGTGATTATTCTGTGCATTTTGACTAGAAAATCCCTTGACATCCCTACACAGCAAAAATAGGAAATGCAATGCAAGTCATTTTCCACCAGGTGGTGCTGCAGGACAGCCGTAGCTGCATCCACAGAGAAAGAAGACCTGCAGTCTGGGTTTGAGTGTATTTAGACATAAACACTGCTCCGTTTTCTGTATTTGTCACCCGGGTGCAGACCACCATTCAAGCTTATTTGTTGACAACTGAATTTCATGTGTTGTAAAAAAAAAAAAAAAAAAAAATGTAGATAAGCTACAGTTAATTCCAGTATTTTGACTCTTATCAAGAAACTGAAGGTCAAGTTTGGAATTAAGGCACAGCCACCAACCACTGCGCCATTAAATGAAAACCTTCTGACTCAATTTTCTCCTTAACAATGGCAATAAATCAGAGGAGCGACACTGCTGAGCGGAGCAGGGCCTCTAAACTCGGAGCTTGCCAGCTGTTTCCAACCCAGCCAGTTAGTTCGCTATTGATTCTCTGTCTCGATGTTGTGCCACTATAACCATCCGACCCGGGAGCGTAGGACGTGAAAATAAATAAGCGTAGGACTCGCAGCAGAAAACTGAAATTCAGAACACGCTACCCAGAAAGGAAGAGGAAACGCCATGAGAGGCGAGACCCACATCTGTGCTTTCCAACTGTAGTGTTGTCACAGCTTGTTATTCTACCTGCTGCTGCCTCAACACCTCTCAGTCAGCGTTTCTCAGGACTCGCACAGGTATCGCTGGAATAAATCAACATCTGACTTGCACCGAAAGGCCCTGAGGCACAGAAAGTACTATTTAATAGGAAATGATTGTGCGTGTGATCTTCGCCTACAATCTGTAACAGAACTGGTTTAGTTGAGAAGCACAAGTAAATCTGCAAGAGATTGTAATTCTTCTTTACCCTTTTTTTTGTTTATGGATAAACAGATAGTTGTTGCAGGCATGTAAATAGTTATAATCCCATTATCCATTCATTGCGCCTGATTGTTGCATTTCTAAACTTTCAAATCGTGGATCCTTCTTTACGTTTCTCAATAAAATGTTTAAGTAAATGATGACCTTTGCCGCACGTCTTCCTTTTCTATCATTACCAACTATCCTGTCTCAGCTCTTTCAAGTAAAGGTCACTAGAGCCAAAAAAAAAACATTAAAAAAAATTAAAGAAGTGCAGGAAAAAAGGGGAAGAATAAAGCTTTAAAAAAAACTGTCTACAACACGTGAACCGCATCTGAAAGTCATGTGCTTGGTAAATTCATAAAAGATCTGACACACCACCTGAGAGCTGTGTCATTTTAGATGATCATAATCTGGTATGTGCTAACGCTTACGGGGTAAAAATGAAAAAAATAAAATAAAAAAAGCTGCCATCGTCTAAAATGAATGTTTCACCAAACCATAAGAAAGCCTGTAGAACTACTACTGAAGGTCACATTAAGGCACTACAGCGTTATTGGACTTTCTGGAAGCAAAACATAGAGAAGCAAGGGACGACTCATAGAGTTCTGCATTTGTGGCCACAACTGATGACGTTACAAGATAAATAGTCTGAAGAGCAAACAGACTAAAGATCTTTAATAAATTATTACCAGAGGCTTTCATAACCACCCGGGCCTATTAGAGGCTGGACTGTGAGGACGCTCCCAAAAGCTTGACAGAAAGCTCATGGAAATGTTCTGTGTTTAATAATTCGGTCGGCATGCAGCTGCACACCTCGACCTGTTCCGTCAGCCCCCCTGTACTGGTGCAGTGTGATGATTATCCAGCTCAAGTTCATGGTTTCTGTTCCCACCTGGGGAGAGGTAATTATTGTTTCCCGGCTCTCCAACGGCCAAACCCAAAACCTGCTAAATAAGTACAAACTTTTACCACGCCTTTGTTATGCACACGATACACCCTCCGCTCTTTTACACACAGATCCATGCAGACGTCTGTTGTTCAGAGTTAGCCTCATTTTGAGGGATTTATTGAATTCTTATCAACATCAATGTGATTTAATACAGAAGTAATATTTGTGCTTACAAGTCAATTTAAGACTCCTGGAATCTGTAAAACACCCGTGAAAATAAATCAGCAGTAGGAAAGGGCTATTAAGTACCATTTTCAGCACATTCGTGCCAATCAAATCAAAAAAATCATTAAGAGGTAGACCAGATGAACCAAAATAAACTCTACAATGTCAAATGAAAACCAGGAAGACAGAGATTTTGTGCTTGAAAATCTGTTCTTTAGACATGGAAGATTACACAAACATTTTTGCATCGTCTTATTATAATAACAAAAAAAAATTTATATTATAAACTACAAGCAAGTCTAAATATATATAATTTAAAGAGCAAGAATGCATTATTTCCCTACTATCCAAGAAAGCAATTCTATAAAGTCTCCTAAAGTCTAAAAAGACATTCATTTCACTGCCATGTTAATAAGGCTTACGCCAGTCCCAGCATAAACATTTCTAAAGCTCCAAGCTTTCAGGTGTTTTTTTTTTTTTTTCTTTGGTCGTAGAAGTGCAATGTGAATCATTCTGCTTTTCCACTCAAGGGCGTGATCATGAGGGAGTGTATGTAGAAAAGGTCCTGTCGCTTGAGTGAAAATGGAAAGATCCAGACCAGTTTTAACAGGGACAGCAAGAAAGTGAAACATTTGAGTTTGTCTATAAACAGACATTTGGTTTGCTCATAAGGATTCAGTGAATTAGCTGCAGAGAGTAAATCGAGCTACAGGAAGAACATTTGGCCCCGACATCAAACAGATATTCAAATCCCGTACCACAACTTGAGTCCATAAACAATTCCGACTGTGCTTGCTATGCAAAGCAGAAAAGTGACAGTCGTGTCACTCTGCAGCTTGTTGGTTTTCATAGCCGTCTACTGATAAATCTGTGGAAACACGTCATTCATGAATTACAACCAAAAGAAATAAAATAACAGAAACCTAATTAACAACATCTTTACTCTACACATGAATTCTTCAAGTTGTTTTTTTTTTCTTCTTAAGTATGTCTGGATTTGGAAGATCATATTTCTTTGATTGGAACCTTGATTCCACTGTCCTCGTTCATTACAAAGGGTTACAGTTGCTATTGTTCATTGTTTTCTTCCTGTTGTTTCTGCTCATCCTCTAGGAGCCTCAGAGTCTTCTTCCACAAAGGCCCTGTTGTCATAGCGATGTTGCTGTTGCTCTGGTTCGTGGCTCATGGGCTCGTTCAGTGGGACTTCATACAGAGCGTCTCCTCCTGTCACTGTGATCACAGTGACCTCTGGTGGAGAACTCGTGGACATGTCGTCTTTGACGTCTTCCTCCACTCCCAGGGCCTTCAGGATGTCGCACTTGCACATGGGGCAGGTCCTCCTCTCCAGCAGCCAAGGTTCGATGCAGGCTTTGTGGAAGACATGGTCGCAGGTCAGCACCGTCACCACCTCGCCCGCTTTGTAGGATTCAATGCAAACGGCACACATGGCGTCAGACGTCGTGAGCTCGTCCCCTCGTTTCAGTGTGATCACCTCGAGGCGCCCGATGGCCTTCTTGGCCTCAGACTTCATCCTCTTCTCGGTGCGCCTGTGTCTGCTCATGCTGTACAGACGGTTTGCGGAGATGAACACAAAGTAGGCGATCGAGGCGGCTGTTACGATGAAAAAGGCGATAGACAGAAAGTAGAGCCAGTACGTGTCCATCAAAGGCCCGTGAGGATTGCCCACATAAACGGACATGTGCACAACAGTTCCATTTTTCACCGAGTTGGCGATCTCTGTGCCCTGAATGTTGCCAATCATGATAGCGATAGCATCACCTGTGTCTGGGTGAGACATGTAAGTGGTACTATTTCCAGTGTCGTCCACATTGTACACCACCACACCGGCTGCTCCCTGGTGCATGGCAGTGTTGATCTTTTCACTGAAAGTACAGTTGCCCCTTTTCACCAGCGCGATCCATTCCTGGCTGGAGTTCCGGTCGTAGGAAGTGTATGGGCTACAGCCTGTGGGATCTCCTTTGGGAACAGCCACAAAGCCTGAGAATTCTGCCACTTCAGAGTTACGGCCATACACCCCACACTCACAGGACTTTGAGATGGTGTCATTGCTGCTCTGATAATAGTCTGTTTTCAACAAGGCTGTCCAGAACACGAAAGCAGCCGAACGAGGGACAAGCCCCGACACACACAGCAAAATTAGCAGCAACGACAGTTGTGTCTTCTCACCCATGGTGAACCCTCGTCTTCAAACGACAGGAAATAGTCTGTGAGTTGTGAAAATCTTCTTAAAAACTCCTTTTGTTGGTCCCAGTTCCTGTTTTGCTTCAAGTCACAGCGATCTGAAGGCAGCTAAAGTTTCAGCCAACCTGCTGTCTCCGGTAATATGATCCTCTGGTAACATAACACAAGCTCTCCGTCAGCCACTCACCTCTCGTTATCTTCCTGAACCTTGAACACTAAGCAATCCACATAGAGGGCGGAGCGGTGCTATTCAACAAGTAGTAAAAAATACAGTCAAAGGTGGGCTGTCAGTGAGAGGAATGATGTTCTAGAAGAAAAGGTGAGATAAGTCCGCTGATAAGGAGAAATTCGTAGATCAGTAACTCGGAGCGAAATATTAAGACTAATAAAAGCTCCTGACTTGCTTTTGTAATGATGAGCAAAGCAAAAGCAACTCGACCAGTTTTTCTCGTCTGGCTTGTTTCCTTCCCCTCTTTTCTCTGAGGAGACTCATTGTTATGTAAAGCAAACTGGCAAGTACAGCGACTATTCACGTCATGGTTGAGTCAAACAAAGACCGCCTCCACTTGAGACTTTAATAAAATCCTTGTTGTTGTTGTTGTTTTTTTTTCAATCATACTATTTTATAAATGACTGTAAGTTAGTGAGACGAACGGAGGCTCGCCACGCTGGTGATAACTGAGATGCAACTAGGCATTGTTAAGTTTCCATTGTATCCTCTTACACACAAGTAAAAACACACAAGCAGTGAGGCACACACACGCACACACACACACACACACACACACACACACACACACACACACTTCCAGTGACAGATGAGATGGAGAGGTTTCCAACTAAGCTGACATCGTACCTCCGCCCACCAACAAGAACACAAACCACAGAAGGAAGCGGGTCTGAATAACTTGCTTATAATAAAACATGACTGCAGAAATATCTGCAAATAAAAAAAGTCACGCATTTATTCTTTGTGCAACTGCAGCTCAGAGCTCTTGACAAAAGAAACTATGTTGATGCTGTGACCCTCAAATTCCTAACATACTAACCAATCAGAGAGCAGGTGGTGGCGTACAGTGAATTAAACCAACCATGTTTCTTTCACTTAATGAATTTCTCCTGTTGTGTGGAATTAGATTAAACTTTTTAGACAGTCATCACAGGTTTCTGCTGAAATGCTGGCATCTGCTGGTTTTTAGATGGTGAGTTTGGATTAGATTTTATTAACAGGGCAATAAACTGTTATGTAAGCCACACTGAGGACAATTTGACCAGATAAGAATCCCTGGCAATGGAGTGGTTTCAATGTCCAAATATTTAGAGACATTTCAGTAGCCAGTACGACTCATTGAAATGGGGCAGGCAAGAGAACCACGCACGTATAGCAATAAAGATAGCAGAAAGTCCTCTGGGCAAGAGATATAGAAGTGAAGAAATGGCTGAGTTTCAGAGGCAAAATATGAGAAGTAGCAAACAGATTCTTATTTTAGGTCCCATGTTGGTTCAAATAGTGCCAACATGAGGGAAACCAAAACCAAAACTGGTGATCACACTAAAAGACAATTACTTTAACTGGTCCAATAACTAAGCTGATTGGTTGTTAAGAAAAATCAGTGAAAGAATTGAAACCAATTCAAAGACATCTGGACATTTAAGTACACCATACAGCTATGAAAACCTAGTAAGTAAAGACCAATGATGTTTATCAAATGTCTGTTAAAATGTGTTTGTTTTTGTGCAATAAAAAATGTATAATGGCAAATTATTTTACATCTTTTGTTTTCCACCTTTAATGTGTAACATTGGAAGAAAATGTAAAAAGAGCTACAGTACAACCCGGTTGAATGAGATTGTATTTTTAAACCAATACTTTCTTGAAGCACCTTGTGGAAGCAGGACTTCACATGCTGTCTTTACATATTTTGCAATACAGCCGATTTAAAAAGTTCCCACATTCTGTCAGGTTGTGTGGGAATCTCCCCTCTTCAAGTGGCCCAACAAGAACTTGTTGGGTCAACGCTGCACTAGCTAGTCCATTCCTAGAAATGTACTTTCTTCTGGCGAAATCATTCCTTTGCTGGCCCATGTATGTATGACTGAACTCACACTTTAAGCTTTCTAGCACTGAAACTTGTATTGAAACTGTTTATTGTTCTATCTGTTTTGATAAAAAAAAAAACAATAGTAATCTCAGAGCACGATGACCTATCACCACCGTAATTTACTGTAAAGATACTTTTCTGTTAGAAATCTCCAGTGTTGTTTTTGTGCCAGACTATATATACATATTTGCAATTCTTTTCGGTTCAATCGTGGTGTGATCTCAAGAGTCACATAAACCTTGTGCATCAGCCAATGGGGGTCTGTCGCAGGGGTGTCAAACGTACGGCCCGCGGGCCG